TCAAAATTACACGTTGATTATAATATAATCTCGTTGTAATTTAGAACCCACAACAGATACGTGTAATACGATTGACCTTCGATTTTGCCTCATTTACGATTCCGAATGAAAACAACCTCAAAGATTAGCAGAAGTGCATAGGCTATCTCGTCCTTCATCATGTACCGTGTTACAAGATTACAGAGTATTGGTTTTTCCTAGTGACGATCTATCAATTCTATACTCTTCTTCTTTTCGTCTTCATCATTCCACTCGTCTCTCCTTCCTCGAAAATGGATTTTCTATTCTTGTGCGAATTTCCCACCACATAATTTGCTCGAGAGCCTGCAGTTCAAAACAAAAAATTGTATAATTTGCTAGTAACTAGCTGTAATCTGAGAACCATGTTTTCCTTGATTTTTTTTTCTCCAGAAAATGGACATGTATCTTATTTGACCTCACATTACTGGACAATGCACATATTTCATTCGTTTTTACCTACCATTTCGATTTATGCAGCGGTCGGTCGATTACATTTTTATTTTATTTTAGAATCATTTGTGATGTTCGTTATAACCCCTCTCTTTTTGTGCCTTTAGAATGGATGCGCAGGTTGGTTATTGCTCAATATCTCTGGTTTCATTTAGCTGTACCGTGCATTATTCTTAATCCAAATGGAGAGCTACTTTTTTGCCTTACTACAACACTCATGTTCACTCAGATGAGAAAGTAAACGGCGCTCTTGAACTTCAATGATTACTCTTGAGTGACTTCACTGTTGAAAGGTTTTGTCTTGCCCATCAAATTGCCGCTGTTTTTTGGATACTATGCTTTGTTGATGAAGAAAATCTATTGAAAGGCTTGCCATATGAAGTCTGAAATAGGCATGTTTTAGATTTTTTCACTGTGCATCCAGAAGTAGGGCAATGCAAAGCAGCTGGTATCGTAAGTCACAGAAGAGAAACAACGTGCACTATTAGTTCTCTTTTACCATCCCAAAAAAATCGAAGAAGGCTTTAAATGTGCCTCTATCCTGTGGTGGAAATAAATGTTGAATGTCTTTAAGTACATATAAGTATAAACATGTTGGCGAAAGCAGATGTTTTGTAATCTATTTGAGTATAGATGCTGCAGGTTTGACGTTGCGCTTAATGCTCTTAAGGTCCCCCTGCAACACTACTAGAGATCGTGGGCACAAAATCCCTTTTTTTCGCATTCCATTATCAAATTCAAGAACTTTAATGGTTTTTCGTCTATATTTTTGACATTCTATCCTTTTGAAATGAAAGCGTAACGCTAGATTCATCCCGGTTGTTTTCTCATATATACAAGCTTTTCACTGTAATTAAATGTTTCTTTTACTTCACTTGCTGCTTCAACATGATTCTGTTTCTATCCATGTCAGTTACAGTAGGCAAAATGTGCACTAGTTGAAAGTGAAAATACAAACCACGTTTCTAACCCTTGATGCCACGCCTTTAACCCACACCACCTATGGATGGATCACGCATTTTGGGATGCGCAAGACCGTGGCGGGTGGATCACACTTCTTTGATCCCCTGTTGCGCTCCATTTTGGACTTTTAAAGATCTTCAATCTCAACAGATGATTCACTTTCGAAAATTAGTACAGGCAGTGGTCAACAATAAGCAACGAAAAAACT